TCTAAAAGCACAGATACAAGATGAATCTTCAGGCCCTTGCATATCCCTAACAAACACACCTTCACACCTTGACAAGTATCACTACTCTGAAAAGGCTGGGGTGAACAAAAACATTTTTAGAAAATGCTGGCTGCTAAAATATACTATATATCCCACTGTGTTGAAATCATTACCCGTCTAAGTTAGTTTCATGTAAGTCCCATTGAAATCAGTGGGAAAATTCAGTCATTACTTAGACTGCAATCCTAAGCATATCTACTCGTAAGTAAGTCATAAGTGATGCTATTCCCAGATAAGTGGGTTAGGATTGCAGCCCTAGTTCCCATGGGAATCAATGGGATCTAAGTGCAACTAATTTAGTTTGGCTTTAATCCAATGACTTTTTAAAAGCACTTAGCAAGAGAAACCGTTAAGGGTTTCCATGTTTCTGCAATTCTTGATCAATCATTTATAATTGTAAATAGAATATTTTATAAGGAAGCAGTATCTAACAAGAACAGAACTTCTGCCCGAGGTCATTACAAATTAAGTAATTTACCTGCTGGTGGCTTTATGAAAGGTGGTGGAATTAATGGTACAATAATGGGTACATTCCCATGCTCCTTCAATCCTGCTGGTGAGTCTGAGAGTCCATTTCCTGTGGTAAGCCCCGGATAGCCTGCGTTTATGTTGTAGGATGAAATAACACTGTCTTCAGGTAATTTTGTTTTTGGCAAAGAATTTTCTGTTTAAAAAAAAACAGAATACATATAAACATATAACATATAAAAACTGCTAATCAGATATACTTACTTGGGGACCAACTAACTCAGCATGCCTTCCTTTTGGCCATGAGGCTTGTGGTGTGAAGAAAGCATCCTGCAACCATTTGCAAACTAATACATAGTGATTACAGTGGTACCTCAGGTTACAGACGCTTCAGGTTACAGGCTCCACAAACCCAGAAATAGTACCGTGGGTTAAGAACTTTGCTTCAGGATGAGAACAGAAATCATGTGGCGGCAGTGGCAGGCCCCACTAGCTAAAGTGGTACCTCAGGTTAAGAACAGATTCAGGTTAAGAACGGACCTTCAGAACAAATTAAGTTCTTAACCTGAGGTACCACTGTATTCTTAGATACTGAGGCATGTGAGGGCCTAATTCCTTCCTGCCCTTCATAAGCTGGAGGAAGCCAATATGATGCCTTCCAAGTGTTGTTGAACTCCAACTCCCATCAGCCCCAGCCATCATGGCCAGTTATCAGGGATGATAGGAGTTGTGGTCCAGCACCATCTAAACAGCACCACACTGGCTACCCCTGAAACATGTCATCTCATTAGAACATGACGTTTTCTTTGTACTTCTGTTGTATCATGTGGCATTTGCAACCACTAATGAATCAGGCAGGATATATATATGCCCTTTATTAAACAAGCCTACTTTGAAATTTTTGTCCCTCCTGCTAGGTCTCTGTGGTGTTTGCAAAGTTGCTTCTGGCAGCTGTCCTCTCAATCTGTGCCACTGGGCTACTCTTCCTGTCTACTTCCCCTACTCTCTTATACAGTAGTGTTCTGCATATATCCTTTTACAACTTTAATAAAAGAGAACTATTTTTAAAGTGTATATGCACAGTTTTAAAACCCTCATCTAAGTCCTTGAATTCAATTATAATCTTTTAGGTGGTGGTCTCTGTATCTGTCAACCTAAAAAGGTAAGGTAAAGGTACCCCTGCCCGGTACCTTTGACAGATTCTAGGGTTGTGCGCCCATCTCACTCAAGAGGCCGGGGGCCAGCGCTGTCCGGAGACACTTCCGGGTCACGTGGCCAGTGTGACAAGCTGCATCTGGCGAGCCAGAGCCACACACAGAAACGCCGTTTACCTTCCCGCTAGTAAGCGGTCCCTATTTATCTACTTGCACCCGGGGGTGCTTTCGAACTGCTAGGTTGGCAGGCGCTGGGACCGAGCAACGGGAGCGCACCCCGCCGCGGGGATTCGAACCGCCGACCTTTCGATCGGCAAGCCCTAGGCACTGAGGCTTTTACCCACAGCGCCACCTGCGTCCCCATCTGTCAACCTACCAGAGTCTTAAATCGGTTATAATACGTAGTTAGTTATACTTCCCTGTTGATAGCTGATATATTTTGCATCTCAAGGAGCATGGGATGAGATGATCTGTCTCCCATTCACTTGGGGGGAGGGAGGCGAAGAGAATCTGGGCCCTCTCCAACTTGAGCAAGATCTTCTGCTTCCCGAAACTGCCTCCTTTCATTCTGTCCTGCTGGTTCTGAGTCTGCTACGGCTCAATGGTTTCAACACAAATGTCTTTTCAAGACTTGGAACCTCTGGGTCACCACATCAAATAAGGGTATGCTCTTCTAAATTAGGACCTCAGCTTTCCTGTCACTCTTATTGGCTTTATCCAGACATGCTCATCCATGTGTACTTTGGGTAGGTCCTTCAGCTGGCTGGTTGTAGTAACAAGCTTTTCTTCATTTCTGTTCTGCTATAAGTTTAGCTCACCTGTTGTGGCCCTCTGGCTGTAGTATAGGCAGCAAAGTCTTTCTCCTTTGACCCATCAGTCCCTTTGCTGGACTCCTATCTAAGACTAGCAAAGTTGTGTTCCAGAGATCCAGAATGGATTAGTTCCCTTTTTTCTGGCTTTGATCAAAATTCTCTTAACCATTTTGATGACTGATTCCGCCTTTCCATTGCTTTGGGAATAGACATGTGAATGCTACAAACTCTTCTATCGCAGACTGTGGCCCCTTATCCAAGACTACAGTATCTACTATTCCAAAGCAAGACGAACAGCTCTTTAGCGTCTTCATGACTGACTGAGGTTTAATATCTAGCACTGAAGACCTCCAGAAAACTGGAATAACAGTTGAGCATTATCAATAATCATTCTCTTACCATGTTCAAACTGTACACCCACTTTCCCCCCACTTGGCTTGGTACTTCTCTTGTTGCCTGTTCCCAGGTGAGCTACAGATTTCACATGGTTCTCTGCCCCAAATCTATTTCTTTGTTTCACATATATTTACACATTTTCCACCACTGATAGTCAGTAGCATGGAGTGGCATTAAGGAAACCTAGTAAATTATGACATCATGTTATGAGTTACGTTTTACAGGTAGACAGAACAGAAGGGATCAAGGACATCAAAGTGTGCTGGCCATCTTTAGCAGGAGCACACATTTACCATAATGCCTATTTTGGCCCAAAATCTCACTAAATCAATTGGTACTTATTCACTAGTAAATGTACTTAGGATTGTAGCTTTAATTAGAATCATCATTCAATAAAACACTGAAGTAAAACCAGTCTTTAAATGTAATAAATTCTTTAAATGTTTTCAATCACACCTTAACCAAGCTTGGATCCCTATCTACAGAATACAAAAACAAATATACATACTTAATCCACTGGCATTAACATTACCGTATCAGATATTAATAACTAAAGCTAACAATAAAATATTATTTCAGGGAAAATAGAATTCCTTAGTACATGCACTCATTTTTGTATTCCTTTTATTTCCCTTTAACTTGGATTCAGCTTGCGGCAATTCATTACAATTGCTTTTGCACTTTTCTTTATGACTGCACTCTTAAAATGAGCTCTCACTTTGAATCATAAAAACCATTTGTTTTTTCTATGTGTATTCTGTAAAATGAATACTGCTTCCAAGGTGTCCAGTGTCCTCATTTGTAACATGAAACACATAACATGGACCATATGTTTATAATGATATAATTTAAACTTGGTGAAATATTTTATATGAAAACCGTTTTCTGCAGATAAAGTTTCGGAGTTACTTTATTGATTTTATGTGGATGGTGACCTCATTAAAACTAAATATTGTGAAAAGTGCATACATTTTTGTTTCTCCTTTTCAACACGCACACATACTTATAGAATGTTAAATACGGCCCACAATATCAATAATTAGTGCTGAGTCAAAATTGGTGATCTTATAGAGCAAAAGTGGGGGAGGGATTCATGAATGTGAAATGTGCCCAGAAAAAAACTCTACATGTGCCTTTCAATTCTCTTACCTGTGGCAGTCTGCAACCACCACAGCCACAGAAGCAGAGAGGTGTAGTGCAGACTGCCAGAGAAGGCAGTCTGAAGAAATGAAGAGCATAGCCATATGTGCTGGTGAACACCAAGCATTCTATGTTAATGATTACTGCTGCTGGTCAAAACCTTTAAAAGCACAGCCTGGCCACATGGAACAAACCAAACAGACACTACAAAAGGTCTACTTCAATGCCCAACTTTGGGCAAGTGAGTATTGTCTTAGTGACTAAAATATAGGTCCCCAACAGGTTGATCTCTTAATGCAAATAACAGAAAGTGCCCCAATGGGGGAGAAAAACCTGAGGCAAGAGATTTAAAATGCCACCTTCTGGTCCTCTTTTCTGTCTCTCTACCACTTACTTACTGCCATCTGCAGAGGATCTGGCTGGGAAGTGTTATCTGCTGCTGCAGTAATCAATAATTGCTCTTTTTTGTTCTTTTTTGTTTTTTAAAATGTTTTTATTAAAGATTTTATTTGGTTACAAGAGTACATAAAGGTAAAGATTTTATTTGGTTACAAGAGTACATAAAGGTAAAGGTAAAGGGAGCCCTGACCACTAGGTCCAGTTGTGACCGACTCTGGGGTTGCGGCGCTCATCTTGCTTTATTGGCCGAGGGAGCCAGTGTACAGCTTCCGGGTCATGTGGCCAGCATGACTAAGCTGCTTCTGGTGAACCAGAACAGCGCACGGAAATGCTGTCTATTTATCTACTTGTGCTTTGCGTCCCAATTTTCAGTTCATAAAGTCCCTTCTGTAGAACAGTCATATTCGATGTGGGACTTTGATGTTGCATATAGTATAAGGTTGGGAGGGAAAGAGAAGTGGGGAGAGATACATTTTACATAATGTATGTGTGAGGTTTCTGTGTCAGCTTTGCATGGGTAGGTTCTCTTTTTATTCATTATTGATCCTGCGCCTCCCTCATCGCTTTCCAGGTAGCCCTCCACCAGGTGCATGACAAGGACTTTCCCTTTCCCAGTACAATGCAGACCATGGGCAAGGACTACAGCAATAAAGCAGCAGCAACCAGCATACATTCAGCTGATGCTATGTGAGTCTGCTACCTTCTTTTTCTCATACTACTTCTGCGACTTTGCAAGTTGCTTGATAGCAAGAGTGTGCACTAATCACAATATTTGGTTTTGGCTACAAATCAACACTGTGAAAAAAGAACCCCTTACAGTCCAAGTTGCTTTGCAGATGGCCCCATTCAACTCAAGGTCCATCCAAGACTGCAAGGGGAAACCCCAAAGGGAATGCGATTATTGTTTATTTATAATGCAGCAGTTATGCCCACCAGTACTATTTCATCTATGATCCACTTGTAGTGCACAAATGATTGCAAGGTGTTAGCAAGAACTGCAACATGTGGAGCCACAGTTCTAAGTTTTACTTCCAGCTGATAATGGAACAGTATTGTCTGTGTAGCAACCTAAAGCCCGAGTGTAGAAGCACGTTAAGTTGGAGTAAGGAGTCAAGGAGAAAGTCAGAGTAAAATAGAATTACACACAAATGAAGAGACTCTGTGGGGGGTGGAGGCATAGATGTGGGCAGGCAAAGGAAGCTTGGAAGACTTGGAACTCTTGACCAGAAAACAAAGGTGCATTGTATTGTTAGATCTAAAGTCTATCTTAGGCAAGTGTCTCCTTCTGTTGCTACAACATTGTGACATGGCCACCCTAAGGAGACAATGAGGAGCACTAAGAGGTAGGCCAGTTGTTTTGGCTGCAGGCTTCTAGAAAACTTTTAAATACAATTGATTGCTCTTGTTTTCAAGTAAGACCTCTCTAAAAACCTACTGCTAGATTTCACAGCAGCAATGTTCAACACAAGACTGCTTTTTCTCATGATTTTTCAACCCATTGGCAGCTGCTTGAATGGTGCCTTCAGGAGAGTTGATTATTTCAGGAAGAAGTACTACTGTTGCAGATTTATATATGCATAACTGCTAGTATTTTATTCAGTTTTGTACTCTTTTGGATTTTGCCTGCTAGAAGTCACTGGCATGTGAAGTCACCTTTAAAACTGATAAAATAAACAAGAAAGCTAACATATTTGATCAAAGGGACATTAAATGTCATTACCTTTGAGAACAGAAATGTGCTGTCGGCTCTCTCCATCTGTGGGGTAGTTCCTGAATTCAATATCTTCTCCATCTTTTAATTCAACCTTATCATAACCATACCAGCCAAGGAGCTCATTCATGGTGTTTTCTGCAAAGTTCTGAAAGAGAAGAATTGCCTATTTATTTATGCAATCAATAATCATTTGGAACTTAGAGATGAATGCATAAATCGAAATCTATTTGCACCGTACCGTGAAATAGCAGGTTTGTCCCACCTCCTCTAGACTAATGTTCATTTATCAAGTCACGTACACAGACTGTAATGCATTTAAATCTTTGACTGACACATGTAATTATGACAGACCTTCACAAATTTGCAATTTAAGGAAAAATATGAGGGGGAAGAAAGCTATTTATCATTTTTTGTACAAGAATTGATAGTCAGTGATATTTTTAGCACATATTTTTTTCACAGCATTTTATATCCTGTGCTACCATAAAATGTTTTAAAGTGCCTCAAGAAAGCGGCCAAAGAACAATGACTGATTTACTAGTGCCTGAGAAGCAATTCAGCTATGTTACAGCCATTCAAATTGGCTACCCTGAGGATGACACAGAAGGGGATGAAATACAGGCTTCTCCGCTTGCTGGTGGGGCCCTCAGTACCTCCCCCTCTGGGCCCCCCCCCCGAGGGTGTAAGTTTCCCATGCAATACTTTTTACAAAAATAATGGAAGTATTAATTAAGAGAGATTGATCTAACACTGGAAAAGGCAATTCAAACATGTCACAGGCAGCAGAAATGGCATAGAATACATGTGCATTCCGATAAACAGCACCACAGTACAGTAGAGCAAGCAACAGTGAATGCAATTGGGAAGAGATGAGCATTTTGAGTACAAAGCCAGTAAAGACAGAAACAATTAATTACAAAAACAGTGAAAGAGGTATAGCAACAATATGAGATTAAAAGGTGCCAGTGTTTGTATAATCTGCAGCAGATGTAACCATTTTTTTCCAAAATATGCCTTGGAAAGTGCATATGCTGGCTGCAGAAGGATACTTTGTAAGCAAATAATGATTTAAAAATGCAGTCACAAAAGAGACCCCAAAGCACAAAAGACTGAACCATTAACTTAACCACTAATGACAAGTATATGACAGGTGCAGGAATACAGGCAAGTCTAATGCTCCAAACAAATATACAGAGCTATAAGTAAATACTAAATAGTCTAAAGGGTCTTTAAAATATTTAACTAAGGAAGAATCCCAGTTCCAGGAGACTGTGCTCTGGCTGTTACATACAACAGAGGGAAAGAAAATGCCGACACTTGCACATTAGCCAGAATAAAACATCAGTCACAGACCTAAAGACTTATGAAGACCTTAGTTCTGTGAAGAAATTTTTTGAAACCTGTACTTAATTACTGGTCAAGGATGTCTCTCAGTGAATTCCAAAATATGATTCTATGAAGATGTGGTACCAGTGATGCATGGCATGCGGATTATGCACTCACTACAAGCTCTAAGGAAGAGTTTCAAAAATGGCAGCAGAAAGGATGAACAAATGAATATTTGTTTAATTTAAAATAGTTAAAAGCAAAAAATAGAAGTAAACTAAATGGCTTTACTCTCAAGCAATTTCAGAGAAGAAAGCTGTAGAACTAAGACTGTGCATTAGCTTCTGAGGTGTTAAACACAAAGAAGGAACTTTTTACTATCTTTCAGGGCCAGTGTGGTGCAGTGGTTAAGAGTGTTGAACTAGGACCTGAGAGACCAGGGTTCAAATCCTTATTCTTCCATGAAACTCGCTTGGTGACCTTGGGCTAGTCATTGTCCCTCAGCCTAACCTACCTCACAGGGTTATTGTGAGGATAAAAGGGAAGAGAGGGAGAACCACAGATATCACCTTAAGCTCCTTACAGTGGAAAGGGGAGATACAAATGAAATGAATAAATAATCGATACAAGTAATGAAAAGCAGCAAGTTCTTTAGCAAACCAGATGAATCAATTGGATTTTGGCAAAGTGCACCGGACAAAAATAATGGTCCAGGTTCTGTACATGTAACATACCCCTTGGCAGATAGTGGTGTCTAAGATTGTTCTTTGGTCTATGTGCAGTAATTTAGAGCACACCATGGGTCTAGAAGGTGTAAATAACTGGTTATACATACATGTATACATGCACTACCAGCAAAAATCAGCATGGAAAGAATTAAATGTTTACTAGTACTGTAATTGCAAGAATGAACCATTTGAAGACAAACAAAGCAAAACAGCAATTCTAAATCTATAGCTAAATTGGTTAGAGCATGGTGCTGATAGCACCAAGGTTGCAGGTTTGATCTCTGTATGGGACAATTACATAATCTTGCATTGCAGGGGTATGGACTAGATGATCCTCAGGGTCCCTTACAATGCTACAATTCTATGATTCTAAATAGCACCTATAACATATTTAGGTAGATGACTAACATGTGATGGTATCTTACCAGATGAATCAATCCATTGTGAATATGCCAAGACTAAAAGATAAATAAAGTGGTTTAAGAACTTCTAGCTGTGTTGAATTATGCCAGCAAATTCGTATCTAACTTTCCAGGTCATACAAAAGGTTATGACACACCTTTTCTGCATGGGCATGGAGGCCAGAGCATAGATGACTTAAAGCAGACCCTGATAACACACCCAACACTGCCGTATTTTGATTCACTAAGAGAAATCATACTTTCCATAGATACCTCAAAAGGCATTACAAATTATTATTGAAGAAGCATGGCACGGATTAGATGCCACTTTCCTACAGTTAAATAAATAATATAAAGTAAGGTAACGGACCCCTGGATGGTTAAGTCCAGTCAAAGGTGACTATGGGGTGCAGCACTCATCTCACTTTTCAGGCAGAGGGAGCCAGCATTTGTCCGCAAACAGCTTCCTGGATCCTGTGGCCAGCGTGACTAAACTGGTTCCGGCACAATGGAACACCGTTTACCTTCCTGCCACAGCGGTACCTATTTATCAACTTGCATTGGTGTGATTTTGAATTGCTAGGTTGGCAGAAGCTGGGACAGAGCAATGGGAGCTCACCCTGTTGTGGGGATTCGAACCACCAACCTTCTGATCAGCAAGCCGATCAGGCTCAGTAACTGAGAAGGGAATGCTGGTCCTGGCCACTAGGTTTATGATTTTCTTTATTATCACAGCTTCAGTGATGAAACTGCAGTCCATCAAAATACACTCTGGATGATTAGGATGACAAGGGGCTGTAGGGTGGAGGAGAAGAAGAAGAGGAAGTCTGATTGCACAAGCTTACATAAGGTTGCATTTCAATCACTTTCTAGAGAACTTGTTCCACCTATAAATGCTCAATCTGATAAATCATAACAAATATCAAACATTCATATAAACCAAATAAAGGCTTAATGCCCCATTTCCCCAAATTTATATTATAGATAGAACTGAGATCATCAAAGATTAAATGCTACTCTCAGTTATACAAGAAATAAATAGGGGCTTACTTTCTACTTTTTACGTTACTCTGAATATATATTTAAAGCAATGGGTATGTGTCCCAAGAAATCAGTCGTAAGAGCATGCACATATTACAATAATTACCTATTGGACATCTCAGTAGTATTTGTAAAAGCCACACAAATTGTGGTTTAGAAAATACTACACCATGTGCATGGACGTGTAAGAATGACCACATCTCACAAGAGAGCTAAAGTAATTGTATTCTGGTCACAGATTAGCAGATCTATTTGTGAGGAATTGTAGAATGTGTAAGCAATGCCAAGATTTTCACAGGAAAAAAGCAATACCACATGAACAACTAGCAATTCATTAGGATAAAACTGAAATTGATTTGTTTAACCTAACAGGACTTAAACATCTGTTGGCAATGGACTGAGTACTTTATAAATTTTCCAATATAGCCACTTTTGTACCCAATGCTGTTTGTCCATAGATGGAAGGAATCTGTCAGT